AGATTAATACCGCATGTCGTCAGGGTTGGGCCACTTTTGTAGTCAGGCTTGGGCCATCATAATTTTTACATTTTATTCGTGTATTTTCGATTTTTGTTGTAATATTTAAGTTTTTTATAGCAAAAATATGCAAAATTAATTAAATAGATTTCGTTAAAAAAATATTTTGATGGATTGAAAGAAGATGAATCATTTTTATATTTTTCTTTAGTGTTTCTCGCTCCAAACGAAAAACAACTCTGAATAATTTGATATTTACTGTAAAATCCCAAATAATTTAATAAATGAACAAAATAATGTCAGATTTACCTGAATTCAATTTTATTCCACCACGTTACGATATTGTCAACGATTTTCTGAAGGTGGCCCAACGCTGAATACATTTTTTTTTTTTTTCAAACGCCTATAACTTTTTTTGTTTTTGTTTTTTTTATTCTCTATTGGTGAACACTTTCTCTTGCTTGTACCTTTCCAAAAATGTATAAACTTATTCTAAATTGTCATTCGTTCAGAACTTATGGACATAGGTCAAAATATGGCCCAACCCTGACAACATTCCCCTAATAATTACGTGTAGATTTGAGTATTTGTCGTCAGTTTCGAAGAGGAAAAAAATTTTTTTTTGAAGTAATTTGAAATAAAAGTAGCGAATTTTCCGTTTTTTTTTTTTGCTTAAAAAATATACAGTTTTAAAATGTGTGAGCGATAAAGTCCATTCCATGCTTTTATGTGTTTTGAGTGTGCCCTATTTTTAAGATACGATGGAGGAAAATTTTAAAAACACAGTTTTGAGAACAACGCGTTTATGGTTTCAATTTTCAACTCAACGCTCCAAACAACTCTTTCTTCTACATAGACCTTACCACCATATTCTAGACATAGTAAGAAAGCAATTTAAGAAAAAAATAAATTCAACTCATTACATGGGATGATCGCCTTAAAGATTTTTAAGTTCAATTTCCGCATTCAATTTATTGAACGTGCCAAACGATTTTTCTCCATGAGGAGTGATTGAGTCAGTGAGTGTTAACGTGACAGACTTAGCCGATAAATTTGTAAAGGGCACACAGCCTCGCCATCTTCTTCTTGTTTGTACACTATAATTATGTCTGCAAAGAGTGCGTATGTGCGAAAGCGAAATCTCTGGAGAGCGAAATGTAAGATTGGCTGTTTTGTTGGTCCTACCATAAGAAGATAAATTAACGACTCTTGCGAATTAGTTTAGTGGTTGTGCTTTGTGGCCGCTCTATTAATTGGTTGCGTATAAAACAATCAGTCGGTATAGAGCGGTCGGTATAGAATTAACTAAAACTTAACTATATGTTTGGCTTTTTTAATAAGAGGCTTTTTAACAACAATAACTATATTCTCAAACGAAGGCCCGAGACATGTTGGGATTGATTCAAAAGTTGTTGGGATTGATTGCGATCCACCGGACGGTAAGCGAACTATTGTTTCTCAAAAGATTTTCTTACAAAGCATTTCCGTTGGGGTCTATAATTTGTCAACCAAAACTTGTATCACCCAGAAGTAAGTTTTTTATAATGTTTAATTTTGCCGTCCTTTAATAGGAATGATTACTGATTCGAATACAACTTTTCTTTGAATTTAAATACATTTTAGAATGACAAAGTAGACTTCCCCAGCTTGGTGCGCAGATAATTCCAAAGAAATTCATTTATTTTCAAGAATGTGTGGTGGGGCTTTAAGCATACCTTTCGGTAAAATGCCTCTCAGGCTCATTCAATAAGACAACAGCAGCTTAGAATGATAAAAAGATCTTGATAAAATTATCATTTGGCTTGCAAAATAAACATTTTGAATACTGGATACATATTTTTGTTTCTCTTAGTTGAGTTTTAGCTAAGTGGCTATTTTTGGTACCTTGTTGTTCTCTGCAAACCTTTGACTAGTTCTAGCCTCTTCAGACGATAGATTTGAAAACCTCTTAACACTCTCAGACATTAATGGACTTTTTTGGCAATCTGGATTCCCTTCCAAACTCGAATGAGTCTTCCCGCCAAAATTGGATTTGCAATAATTTTTTTGTCCCCAAGGGTATTCATATCAACATATAAATTTGACTAGCCTGTAGTTTAAAATGTCAATATACGCTAAAAGAAAATAAAATGCACTCAGCGTCATTACTTATTTTAGGGCACCATTCTCAATAAAAAGATTTAAAACTGGCGAGTGATCTGATAATCGGTTCGCTAGCGTGGAATTTGTCATCGCGAAATAAAATCTTTGACTCTCAGCTGGCCAGAACGTTGAGCTGCCAAAATACACCACGCAGTCTAGTTTTATGTTCAAATTCGTTAATACGTTAGACAATTGCTTCTATCCTGCTTCATTGCCCCCTACATATTCAGATGATTGCATGAAACATATTATATTGATTGCTGATATCTAACCATCTTTATTAAAATGTTTTGATTTTGTTTAAGGTTTTCTTCTGTTATTTTTTCTTCTATCTCTTAGAGGTAGATAAGTCGGGCCTATACTTTTTAAAACAACTTACAAGAACTTCCCGCTCCTGAGTAATTTCCGAACTGTGCGACAGTTCTCTTTACTAGGTCTGATTTCTTTTGGACCCCATGTTCAGTTCCCATTTAAACATTATTAAGCCCCACAAAACTAACCATTTCATTTATTTTTAAAAATGTTATCAGCTTGCACTTGGAGATGGCTAAATTAAGTAAATTATCGTTGCACCCGTTCTAAAAATTTCTCAAGTTTGATTTAAGTTTTAAATGACGGGAATATTGATTATGTTACCTACATAAGTACGCGAAAACGAGTAATTACTAATAGAAAATCTGAAAACCAAATTATATCAAATTCACATATAAGTGATCAAAAAGTGTTTACTGTTGTCAGTATAAGTGGTATCAGTTTGAAAATTATATTCCCGATCTACAAGGTACAACTACTTAGGAACACTTATTTTGAAAGGTAAGGTTTTTTAGCTTCAGAAACGTTACTTTTTTCCATCTTCACTTTATCGGTTGTTATTTTGTCTTTGATATAGAACAAGACATCAAATTATGTGAAAAATAAATGTTTCTTTAATTTGTGGGAACACTACAAAAGGTTTCGGTACCGCAGTATGTGCCTGCCGCTGTGTGCCTGCGATGACAACTCGGGCAGGTAGTTCTGTAACCTACTGCGGGGATATATGATAGTAAATGAGTTAGGTAGAATCACAGGTTTAGAGCAACCTTCGAAGAAATCAGTTTTATATAATGTTCCAGGTCGCATACACTCCGCTGTGGATTGATCGGGTTTCAAAACTTTCTAAGGGGTTATATACCTTTTTTATTTTCAAAAAATCGAAAATTTTTTTATTTCTTTATCTAAAGAACAACTCCTTGAGAACATTTTCCCAAATTTTCATAGAGATTCGAGCGGTAGAAGAAAAGTTACAGCGCTCCTAACCGCGCGCCTCGTCGCGGCCCGCAACTGAACTTGAAACTTTAAACGCGAATATCTCGAAATGGTGTTTCATAAAAAATGACTTTGCGGTGATAAGGATTGGCGGAAAACTACTGAACCGATTTACTTCAAATTTTTTTTCAAATGCTCGTAATGAAATTATCTTGTGCTTGAACGATCGACTTTTCACGCACAAATTTTTTTTTCGCCGAAATGAATTTTTTAGTGAAATTTCTAGAGACCAAAAAGTTCATTTTTAGCATAAAACGTTCCCGTATGCATAAAAAAAAAAAATTTAAAACCGATCGTTCAAGCACAAGGAATTACACTAAACTAATGAAATTTTTTTACTTTTATGGTTTCGGTTGACCTGTTCGACCTGGGGAATTATCACCGCAAGGCTCTTCAAAAAAAAGGCCACCCCTTAAAAACTATTTAATATTTTTCCACGAAATTTTGCACAAACATTGGTAATAAAGTTTACTATCAAAAAATTAAAACATCCGTGTTATTAAATAATGGCTACATACCTAAAAAAATATCCGAACTTTCCTCTTTTTCTTCGACAAAGAAGGTATATAACCCCTTAAAGTGATGATCTTAGCAAAGATCATTAGCCCTGACAAAACTATTTCTATCTATGCCAAAATTAGCCAGTCAGTTCCTTTTAACCTCCTTTAGTTTGGCTTATGAAGGATTTCATCTCTTTTGTAACCTCGCAGAAAGCCTCACAACAGCATAACAACCCAAGGGGTTTCTATACGTCAATGCCTGTAAATCCAGCACGATAAGTATGCATCATTTTATTACAAAGCCAATTGAGTTTTGCCTGCTCAGGCTTAATCTCCTGTTCGCAAATGTTTTTATGCAGACAATACAAGTGTCAGCTTTATCAAAAAAAAATGAACACCAAGAGAAAATCAGTTGTACGTCAAAACCTTTCGAGATTATATGTTCACAAAATAAAGGAAAAATAGAGTGGGAAGGTGTTAAAGTGTATGCAATTCCTAAAACAATAATAAGCATCAGATATAACAGAAAAATTTGATTGTTAAATATGTCACATATTGGGAAAAATTCACTCGCGAAGCAAAAAGTTTCGAAATATATTAAACAATTTTTTTTTGAACTGAGAAACAAACCACCGCTGGTTATTTAGATAAAAAAATAAAACTCGGAGCACACAAACAACTCGGTAGTTTGCTATGAAAGCCAAAAGACAATTTTGGGGTCAAAGTGAAGGTTCGATTTGTCCAATGGTATTCTTTATAGCAGGACGGCTTATTGATTTTTGGCATAACAAAAACCAATTTGTTTGAATGGGTACGGTTTCGGGTCTTAAACTTTAATAAATTTGAAGTCAGGGTGAATAAACCAAAACAGAAATTTCCCACACAAGCAATTTAAATGGAAAAATGCTGCTTTGTTTCCCAACAATCGTTAAGACGAATAGAGAAAATTAAAAAGCTTACGCTCATGAGTATGTCGGTATTAAGGCTACACAAATTTCATAATCGCTCAAAAATCGAACTACTCTCTTTTAATAAGTTTCTGTTTTAACTTACCTTATTGAATATATTTATGGTTTTATAGGGATTAACGGCAATAAGTATTGAGCCGGTATAAGTCTATAATTTTTCAGTTTAGGAAATCAAATAGATTTAAAAATTTTAAAATATATGTTCAATAGTTTGTAGAAGCAAAATCGTTTTAAGTATACGTATTATAATCTTATATAGGTACTATTATATACTCAAGGTGTACAATTAATTTATGAAACGAGTCTTGAAGTTAAGGAGTACAAACACATTGAAAGACATATTCTGTTACGCGCATAAATGTTACCTAATTAAACCCCTACGGAGGGTATTATAATTTTAGTAAGAAGTAAAGCAGACATCTTAGACCCCGTAAATATATAAGTACATGTACATACTCGTATATATATTTTTTTGGTCAGCATTACGAACTGAATCGAACTTAATGTGAACGTGTGTCCGTATGTCTGTCTCTGTGTAAACTATTTTCTCAGTTGTAAAGCTAAATTGCTGAAACTTTACCTAAAGTTGTGTAATTATTGCACGGAGAATATAACTCGGACAGCGTTCATACGAGATATTGAATAAAAAAAATTATCACGCCGTTGTTTTTGATCAGATCGACTTGATTTTTTCCAGATGATGTTTTTAACCACTATCGAATTTCGAATTAAATTTTATCAAAATCGGATAACTATAGCATACAGGACAGATCAAAAAATATATATATAAAAAATTAAAAAAAAAATTTAACGTCGTTGTTTTTTATCCCACGAACATGAAGCAAGCCGAAGCTTATATACCCTTGCAGTCATCAAATATGTATGTCGATCGAAATGCATAAACAACATCGAAACTATGAGGATTTTTCTATTAATTTTCCATATTTTCGAATATGGTTCATATGGCAGCTGTATGATATAGTCGTCCGATTTTGATGAAATTTAAATAGTTATTCAAGAGTCGTTAGAAAACTCTATATTCCAATCCAGCTTGTCCGATGAAAAACAACGATGCTATAATTTTATTTCCGTTATTTCTATATAGATTTTTAGATCTTTCCTATGGCAGCTATATGATAACGTTGTCGGAATTTAATGAATATTTTTTTTCGTTTCAAGGGTTATTAAAAAACTCCTTATTTTGAAAATCATGTTCGTGGGATTAAAAACAATGATAGAGATATATAACATTTAATCCGAAATTCAATAGTAGTTAGAAAACGCAATCTGGAAGAAATCAAGTCGATTTGATCAAAAACAACGGCTCGAGAATTTTTTATTTCATTCTCTCGTATGGAAACTATCCGATATGGTCGGCCGATCCTGCCCGTTCCGACTTATATACTGCGTGCTACAACTACACAAATAACTACACAACTTTTGGGAAAGATTCAGCAAGATAGCTTCAAAACTGCGAGACTTGTTTAGAGAGAGACGGAAAGACGGACAGACGTACAGACGTATTTCAATTCAGATCGTGATCCTGATGAAGAATATTTATAATTTATGGGGTTTGAGGTGTCTCCTTCACTGCATTACAAGCTTCTGACTGATATTATAATACCCTTCTTCTCTGCAAGGGTATAAAAATTGTATATTGTAGGGGAATGTAAGTGGGATATTAGTTACATTGGTTTTGAATCTGCACACAGACAAAGTTTTTCTTTGAATGCTAACAAAATAATTAATAAATAAATTGTTGATTGTGATTATTAACGCCACGTCTTATATGTCCCATATATTTTGTTTTTATAAAAACACTTTCAGTGTTCGCGCCAAAGCGGCGCTTTCCAGTCCCTTCCGAACCGCCCCTGGAGTCTTAACAGTCGTGAGAGCAGTTCTTCCAGATCGCTTGCATCTCGCTCTCTGGCACTGTTAAGGGTCTCCAATCCGCTCTCCAAGCGGCTCTTAAAGTTTCCACCCCCTAGCTTAAGTTTAGTTCTAATTTCCAAGTGTAACCGCGAAGTCGAAATAAAGAGTGAAGTTTTTTTATAACGTTTAACGAAAATCTGCCCGCGTTATTAATTCTACCCCTAAAACTAAATCGAGACCCAGGAAGACCCGCCCCACGACTCAATATTTCGTCCTTCGAGCCGGATAATTTGCACCAGCGACCACTGGCGGAGTTTTTTAAAGTTCAAGATAAGTACGAATTTTCCATATTTCCGTGGCCGACCAGTCAGATATTTCCCAAGATCCCAATTTTCTTATATCTGTCTGATCGGCTAATTCCATTTGCATACGATCGCCATATTCCGGCTTCTTTTTTCGTATTGCCATTTCCATTTTCATACGATCGCCATATTCCGGCTTCTTTTTTCATATTGCCATTTCCACTTTCATACGATCGCCATATTCCGGCTTCTTTTTTCATATTGCCATTTCCACTTTCATACGATCGCCATATTCCGGCTTCTTTTTTCGTGTTGCCACTTCCACTTTCATACGATCGCCATATTCCGGCTTCTTTTTTCTTATTGCCATTTTCCGGCTTTGCTTTTTATATTTCCCCATTTACATACATACACAGTGCCGGATTAAGCTAGCGCGGGGCCTGTAGCAAATTCTGTCAAGGGGCCCTTGCTTTGCTTTAGGTTCTCAAGTTTAGGGTATTAAATAAAACAAAATTTTTACAAATAAACTTTTCTGGATTTAATATGGGCAAATTTAGAGATAACACTTTCAATATCGACTTTTTTAAGCAAATCATGCTCTATATTCAACAAAGTGAGATGATTAAGACGTTCTTGGCCCATCGTGTTCCCTAATTCATTTTTAATACGTTTTAATGTTGAAAAAGTGATCATGAGAAACAAGTAAATGCGCAAGGCAAACGAGTCAATAAAATTTAAATAGTTTGCCTACTTTTTCTCGAAATACTGATAATCTATATTATATTAAAATCGATTAAAAAAAGTACAATCTCGGCTACGTAAACTCGCAAAATAAATGTATACCTATATAAAAAAAATGAAAATCTGGCCGCTTGAAGGGTAGAAATGTGGTTTAATTTCAGATAAAATATAACGTGACGAAATCGAGTTTTATATTTTCAGATGGGAGTAAAGCATAGCCTAAGCGCTTCACGCTTAAGTCATGCAAATTATTTTTAGGTTCCTATCTAAATTTTTTTTTACGATCAGATAGGTAGGAGTTGGAGCGCGGCCGCGCGGGGCCACCCCAATGCGCGGGGCCCGTAGCATTTGCTACTCCTGCTATATGGCTAATCCGGCACTGTACATACATAAACACATAAAATCCAGATGCATGCTTATTGATGTACATACGTACATATGCCTGACCATCTCAACATATGTACATACATAAGGAGAAACATTTACACACTACAATTCGCGGTGTACCCAGCAAACATTTTTGAAATTGCATTCCTAAAATACAGTCCACATTTCCAAGAGCAATTAAAATCCAACAAAATTAAAATTGCTAAAATTTAAATTTATAAATATAGTGCTAAACACATATATATAGATCCCATTAATATATGTATGTCGGATCAGATGAAACGGGGCCTACTGACATACATGTTAGAAAGAGATGGCTAACAATGTAAAAGAATTGAGTAGAAAGTATAAATTTGGAAAGCAGACTCTTGGGAAGTCAGTTCAGAAAGCGCCAAGCAAACGAGCAGAACTTGCTGCTAATAATTCGGTTACAAATGGAAAAGTCTAACGAAACTCCGACATCAGAAGTGGGATCTGCTTTGCCTACTGGTCATGCCACTGATTCGTATTTGTCAGCGTTGGAGCTCCAAACCCGCAACCTAATGGAGATAATTAAAAACATGCAGACTCCAAGGGCGCCGCAATCGAATGAAAAAGCGTCAAACATAAGACTACCAAAATTTAACCCTGACATTGCTGGAGCGGAGCCCTCATCTTGGTGTAGCACGGTGGACCTCATCTTTGCCGACAACGTTCTCCAAGGTAGCAATCTGGTGATAGCCCTAAGTAAGGCATTGGAAGGCACCGCATCACAATGGCTTTCACAAATATGCTTTGCCGGAATAACTTGGGTGCAATTTAAAGAGCTATTCGTGCAACGTTTCGTGGGAATCGAAACTTCTGCTGGCATGGTTTTGAACGTGTTAAATAGTCGACCAAAACCAGAAGAAGGCTCTGCCGAATACGGTAGCCGTATTTTAACGATGCTGATGTCCAAATGGAAAGCCAAGGAGATTGAAGAAATAGCTGTATCTGTAACATTGGCTCACATGGCACAGGTTGACAGCAAGTTGGCGCGCTGGATTTTCACCACCAACGTTAAAACACGCAACGAACTACAACAACAGCTTCAGGCACACTCCTTCAAGAAGCGCGGCGTAGAAGACGATGCAGCAAGCTCGGACCTCAAGAAGATTAAATTTCTAATCGTGGTGAAATGCAATTACTGTGGAAAGGCGGGACATAAATATGCAGAGTGCCGTGCCCGCTTAGAAAAGGGCCAGAGTGAAACCTATAGCGACAACGATATGACAAGTGTGAGGAATCGATCTGGTGTCAAATGCTTCAAATGTGCCGAAATCGGACATTTTGCAACCGCTTGTCCTAAAGGCCGTTCAAGTGAAAACAAATAATGAGAAGCGTAGCATTATAAGGACATCCGGTGAGTCAGTTCCTTTTTGTTTTGATTCTGGTATGGAATGTTCGCTTGTAATACGTCGCTGATAAATTTAAAGGAAAAATAATGAAAATTTTTGTAAAACTAAATGGCAGCAAATAAAGTAACAAAACTTAGCCCATTAGAATTGTTAATTGGAAAGGAAGCTAGACCTTTTGGGGAAATTTAAGAAATCAAGCTACATAAAATATGGAAGCCAGTGCACGATATGATAAACACAGATACGATAATAATAAAGCGAAAATTACCAAACATAAGTTAGGCGTCCACGTATTGCTTAAACATGAAGAACGCCATAAAACGAAGCTAGATCCACAATTTAAAGGGCCATTTGAGATCATTGAGATTCTAGATGGAGATAGATATCTGTTAAAATCTTTAACTAGTAAGCGAATTTAAAAATATCTACACGAATCTCTAAGAGCTTAGCGAAATAATCAGCTTATAAGC